CCTGAGGAGTCGGTGGGCGCTGACTGTATTCACGCTTGCTGGTTAGATAAAAGAAACGAAAGAAAAGAGAACACTGCCTCGCGGTAGTTGATGGCCTGAGGAGTCGGTGGGCGCTGACTGTATTCACGCTTGCTGGTTAGATAATATTTTTAACAAGATTCGGAACGGCGTTGGATACAGTAACGAGGAAGGCCGCGTAGAGCACCTTTTTAGCTTCACTGCGTGGCGCTCCCAACTGCTTCGACAGAGGGGAGAGCTACTAGCCTCACGCCCCATTTGCCTCCTGTTACTTCCCGACTTGGCCTGGTGCCACCCGCCGTCGCTCATGGGAAGTGACGCGTCGGCCTCTTGCTCGGCCACTCCATCAGCGTCGAGTCTGGGCGAGCGGTCGGCCGTTGGGAGTAGTGCTCTCCAGTCTGGATGGATTTCCAACGCCCGAGCTGGCAGAAGCCGTGGATGTCCATACCGCCACCCAGTGCCGCGCAAGCACCTCCGACACAGGTCGAATACTGTCCAGCTTTTTCGCTATCCAGAGACTTGGGGCGCCCTTTCTCACCTGTTAAGCCGGCCATTTCCATGACCATACCCACCGCCGCGGCGTGGATATTCATCGCGGGCCCCTTGCTGATAGCATCGAAAGCAAGAGGAGAACAAGCACGCCCAAGACCAACCGGGATGAGGCCCCGGTGAATGATCAGCGCTGAACGAAAAGAACAGCAAAAGCCCGGGCTGAAAGAGGACCGAGGGGCCGCTGCGATCTACGAATACTTCGCTTCAGCAATCGTAAAACGGGCCCAAGTGCCGCCCACTGATGCCGCGACCGCAGTGGCAGTCGCGTCATCTGGTCGTAGCAATATGATGAACCAACAGCCACGCGATCAGACAGCCAGCGCAATGAGCCACCAGGACTAGATTTTCTCGGGGTCCAACACATAGAGGCCCACACGCTTCTGCCGATGCCACCAGGAAGACCATGCGCGACAAGCAGAGCCCTGCCTCCTGTCAGACTCTCTCCCTGGTGCACGCCAACAGTGTGAAAAATGAAGAATAGGCCAGCGGGGCGACCCGTGGCACAGCCGTCCGGCCTGCCGTCAAGTTCTTGACATGGGGCAAGTGCTGGGCCCTGCTTTGCTTCGCATCACCCCAAGCTCGTAGTGCTTTGGTGATCAGGTCGACCGAAAAAGCAGAGGCAAGCATGGCCAAGAGGAGGGCTAAGCTTACACGCAGCCATCGGCTGCCCGTGCTTCGAAAGCTCGCGGGAGTAGTCACGCACCGTCGACGAGTTCCGGCGTCAGGGTCAGGCGGACACATCCCCAGCCAACAAGCCCGGCCAAATTTGGCTAAAGTTTTCGGGTTTTGAGAAAATCCCGACCGACAGACACCACAACACACCCGCGCCGGCTGATCTGGCTGCCGGGGGGCAACAACCGACCCAACACAAAAGACCCAGGAAAGACCTCCCCGAGCGAACCCGTGCCACCACAATGCAAGAGCAGGCGCCCGCGAGTCTAGCGCATGCACCTGGGCCAGCCTCCAGCAAGCGGCCCCACACACTTCGAGGCAGACACCTCAAGAAAAGGCCCGACACAAAGAACCGAAAAGCGGCCCACGCAACCTCAGCGTCTTCTTCGTTCTGGTTGCGGAAAACAGAGTGACGCTCGGAAGCACAACCGGCAGCTTCAGCATGTTTTTCGCCGCGACAGACTTCAGTACGCTGGCTGCCAGTGCCGTGATCTGCTCGCCTCCGACCACTTCAGCCACTGGCCTTCACACTGCTTCCCCGTCCTTTGTCTTCTCTTTGTCGTCCGTCGAGGCCGCTGCAGCGAGGGCAGAAGTCTGCGCTTCAGTCTGCGCCTGCTCCTGTGCCTGTTGGTCTTGTGGGATATCCTCCGCAGCAGCTCGAAAGCCAGACTGCATGGGCGCGGAGTTGGTAGGCGTCACGCTCTTGCTGGCTTCCATTGTAGTAGGCTTCTGCCTAAGGCCAGCAGAGGCCGAACAATAAGAAACCGCACGAGAAAACCATCGGAAGCAGCGATAGAGGTACTCGACTTTTCTTGTAAGCTGCCCGGTGTGAAAATGGGGAAGGTGCGCGAGGGAAAAGTTAGAGGCTTAAGCCAGAGCGCTCCGAAGCTATAGCGGCACTCATTCCTTACGTATCCACGGCTGGGCCCCTTGCCCTAGCCGTAAGAGCTTTACCCCCAGACCTTCCCAGCCATGGATAAAGCCTCACACCGCTGAGCAAAGTCCGAACGCCTCACGCCTTTACAAATAACACGCGCCAGATTATCATATTACACCAAGGTCAGAAGAACGCTCGCATTTGCAACGTAGGTCGAACCATCGACCAAGTTGCACAACAAATAAAAGACCCGCGGGGGGCGGGCAATAGTCCAACACTACACACAAAATCTGTCACCCTCAGAGACAGCTCGAAGCGACCAAACTGCAAGGCCTTGAAGGTGTTCCACTTCCTAAGTTGGCGGCTTGGTGTGAATCATTCGGCGCACTTGAGCAATTGAACAACGAGCCAAAGAGCCCGAGAGCGAGTCAGCATTGCACTGTATACCACCTTGGCCCCCGGATCCTTTTGGCAAGAGTAGCGACACGCGTGCAGTTCGTGGGAGGGCATCAGCATGCCTGTGCTCGATATTTGGGCTGGAATCTAGTGGCGCCCCCTCTCCCAGCCTTCTTCTTCGTCGCAGTGGTTTGCTTGTCCTTGCCTGTCTTTCTCCGACCAGATTTGGCGGCGGAGGCGTTTGACTTTGGCGCCGCACGTTACGCCTTGGGCAAGAGCTTCCCCAGATTTTGCAGACTTTACCACGGTGCCGCAGCCTTCTGGCCTGCGGTTACCTTTGCAGACCTTCTCCAACTTCCAGCATTCTACTCCTACCGTGAAGCAGAGCCCGCGGCTACTTCTTCTAACTACCACAGCAAAAACGCGCCCCCGCTTCTTGTATTCTGCTTCGGCACTAGGCTAGCCTCGCTCCCGTTCCTATTCGAGGCGCCCTAGTGTTCCCCCGCGGCTACAGCGAAAGCGTCACCATCTAGCTGGCGTCTGCCGCCGATAAGCGAAAGAGAGAGAGAGAGGAACCTCCCCGATCTGGGGAGGGCGGTCGCCTGGCCGCGACCTGCTGGCGCTTCGGGTGCAGAGGGTTCCCCCCCTAGACACCACGCAGCCAGTCCCTGGCCTTGAGGCCTTGCCCAGGTGGCGCCCCTTGTGTTTAGGCATCACCCAGCCCAGCCACTAATCAGATGGGCTGACGCCGTCCAGCTGTGGCCAGGGTTGTGAGCCACACGGTGGACCGCGTGGACGCGGCGCCGTCAGCTGCTCAGAGGGCTCCCCTTGGGTCTCATCTCCCCGCAGTGTCTGGCCCCGCGCGGTCCCCGCTTGTCTCTCCCCTGGGTGTGGGGCGGCAACCAGCCTGAAGGCCGCCTCCCTGCCAGTCGAGTCCCCTCCAGGATTCGAACCAGAGACCCTCCGGAGCGGAGTGCAAACACTTGCCCGGTGAGCCAATCTGGCAAGTTTGGAAACTTGTAAGGAAATACTTTATAGGCGTATTTCTCACTCAGTTAAAATAATGACCAAAGCACGCAGCCGCTACCCAGTAAGCCCCTGCGTCTTTGCTGGCCGCTACACCAAGAAAGATGGGGGCTGCGCTTCAGCTCAGGCGGGCTGCCTATGGGGCTCGCTGCGTTAAGTTCGTCGAGAGCGTGCCCATTCATAACGCAGACTCCCGACGCCCAGCGCATTCCGAGGGCGTGGCAGTAAACGATCGCCGGAGGAGGCTTGGACGTTATTAGTCGCCCGATGGGCAGCAGCTCGGTGCTTGGGGCCAGCCAGCCTTATGCGTCGGCGTTGCCTGCACCTGGTGGCTCTAGTTCATCTGGCCCCGGGGGACGTCGCCGCCTCCTCCCCGTCCGTCGCGGCTGGTGCAGATCAGACGCGGAACTATTGGACACTCCAGGTCCAGACGGTGACAAGCCCAGCGCGCCACGCTTCTCCGATGGTGAAAACGGACCCACACCCGCAAGGACTTCCGTGTCTGCAGGCGCTTCACAGCCCGGGGGGGGTGATAAACATAAAGCCAACGATCCGCCACAGGAAGAGCAAGAGCACACCCTTGGGAGGAAGAATGGCGCGACTTACAGACAAGCCAAAAGGAAAAGAGGCCGGCCCCAAGGGTCTAAGGACAAAGCTGCAAGCAGCAGAAAAAAAAGAACAAGAAAACAGACGGAGGCAGAACAAGTCGAACGCGGTGAATTCTATGGCGAGCTCGCTGAAGTGGTCGGCGACTGTTTCTACGCGGAGAGCACGGAAGACGATCTAGAGCCAGGGCAATTAATCAAATGAGGACGCCTGGGCTCAGTTATCAGCGTCAGAGGCTACCAAGGGCCCTGGCGGCTCCCCACACTGGATTCGGGTAATAAGTAAAGAAAGGGCTAAGCTATATATAAGCTTTCGAAGTACAAACATGGCGGAAATGTAACGGAGAAGCGCCTAAGCCAGCGAAAGGCGCCACCTAATCGCTCCAGTGCTTTCCAAGAAGCGAGGCGGCACCTACAAGCACGGGGCGGCTGCCTTTGGCAACTTCTTAGACCGGCCAAGGCATGAACTTGATGTCTATGCGTCACTGCGGTTAGTTTTGGCGCCAGCGGGTGCCTTTTACTTAGGTGGCGCTGCTGCTGCAGGCGATGCGGCCGAAGTCTTTGGCATTCGCAGTACTATCGTCACGCGTAAAAGTGTGCCCATCCTTAAGAAGTCAAAACTTGGCAGGTGCCCGCAAATTGGGTAGTTTACTAGGCCGCTGAGTGGCTAGGCTTGAGGGGACTGGTCCAGACAAGGCGGGCGATCTTGCTGAACCGTGGCTCGACTGGGGTGGAGGGTTGATAGATGGCAGACAAGATCGATGGGGCAACTCGTGTAAAATCAGAGACGAAGAAGAGAGCCACGCCACGGCGGCTCCGTCGGTCCGCGATGCTTTGCGGCTGACGAAGCCACTCTGAACGACGTGAGAACCCCCGACACCGAACGAGAGGCGGGCGGATTGCTTACCGCGGAAGCGCTTAGCCAAAGTGCGGCAGTCTCTCCGCCTTTGCTTGAGAGCTCTCGCGAGCTCATTTGCTTGACCCGGGTGCTTGGATCTTGTTCCAAGATTCTTGTATCCGATTTCGCAAATTCGCGACATCGGATGTCGCGAAAAAATGCCATGAGACAACTTCTACAAGGATAAGGGTGCGGGCGATGGATCCGCCCGCATTCTGCCCCCACTACGTTCCAGACGCTCTTTGTCTGACAGTGTTGCTTTGGCTGTTCTTAGTATGGCCAGAAGGTCAAACCCCTCGACCTTGATGCCAAAACTGTGCACACAACTGCGCACACTTTTGACCCCCTTCGCAGTGGCCCCCTCCGATCTCCCAGGCGGTCCGCTCTGTTCGGTTGCCCGAGTGCGGTGGTCGGGTAATTAGTACGCTGAGACGTGGCAGCGCAAGTGCAGACGCAAGCCTCTGCATGCGCGGAGCAAAGTGCTGGAGCCTGGTGGAGCTCTATCGCGGCATCTGGCCAGCTCGCCGACCCACGAAGCCAGACACCAGCAGCCTTCTACTAAGTCCCTGGGCTCACGCGCTTTCTCTCATGGATTCTTCTGCCTCTATTTCTGTGCACCGTGCCAGAGCGACCGTGTAGCAGCAAAGCCGCGAGCCTTGTCCAAGCCAGTCGCTTTTTCACTAGCGAGCTAGCTACCTGCTTTGGCCGTTACTTGGGTGATTTCTTGAAAGTTTTGACTTTCTGAGGATGCCACACTTTTACGCGTGATTTGCTTTCACGCAAAGCCAAATCGCTCCCGGCGTCTATTCTCTGCGCATCTGCCTCAAAGCTGGAGGCGTGAGGAAAACGG